AATTATTGAAATGATTCATTCAAAAATAACTTTCTGGGGCAGGAGAGATGGCTCAGCAGTTATGAGCACTAGCTGCTCTTGCAGAGGAACTTTGGGTCGATTTCCAGCACCCACATTGCAGTTAATAGTTGTTCTATAACTCTAGTTTCAGGGGATCTGACATCCTCTTCTGACTTTTGTAGGCATTGCGTGCCCAAATGTACTTACATACATGCACACAAAGCAGTCATACACATACGCAAATAAATAAATAAATTTAAAAAAATATTTCTAGGCCAGGGAGATGACTCTGAGTAATTGCACCTGAGATGAGTAATTGCACCTGCTGGCAATTCTGATGACATGAGTTTGATTCCCAGAACCCACAACTCCTGGAAAGTTGTCGTCTGACCTCTACATTTGTGTGCATGCGCGCATGCACACACACACACACACACACACACACACACACACACACACATTTAATTTTTTTCTTAAAGTTTGAGAATTCTTGCTCTAGGTATGTTTTCCCTAAAATTAAATTTTTTGTTACATTTAGTTATTTTAGGGGGTCACAGTTGCGAGGGGCAGTGCTCTGAGCCACAGCACTTGTGGAGGTCAGAGAACAATTTGAAGATGTTGGTTTTCCTACCATGTGGCTTCCGAGGATAAACTTGTCAGGCTTTGCAGCAGGTGCCTCTCCTAATTGAGCCATCTTTCTGGCTCCTGTTTTCTTCAAGGTTAATTGATGATGGATCTTGTAACCCCACCCCCATATAACATTCAGTCTCTTAGCAGAAATATCATTTGTATAATGTTGTTTGGGGAACTGTGTTAAATCGTGTGAAACGTTAATCGTTGGTTAATCATGTTATTCTTTCTCTAAAATCGTCGCTTTATCCTTTTACTATTTTGCATCTTTCTATTTTTGTCCCAAACTATTTGGAACATGTAGACATAAATAAATCATGAAGACTTATTTAGAAGAAAACCATAATTAAAACGTGAAATATATTTATTAATTTTGATACTCTAGGTTGGCTCCTTGGAACAAGCTATGCTTGATGCCCTTGTAATGGATAGAGTTTCATTTGTAAAACTTCTTATTGAAAATGGAGTAAGCATGCATAAATTCCTCACCATTCCCAGGCTGGAAGAACTTTACAACACTGTAAGTCTGATAAAATTCTTTGTTTTCTGTTTCACTTGACCATCTTTTCTTTACCTGAAAATGTACATTCCTGCTAATAGAGGCTCTAATCTCTGGACTTGTATAAGGGGAAAAAATGCAGCCATTCTTAGTGTGGGGTGGTTGTATAGCAGTCTAAACTGCTTTTCTGTTTTAAAAGCCCTTTCCATTCAACATAGCTGTGTAGAAAAGTGATGTTGACTTGCTAACTCATCTTTTCCTTTCACTTACACCTTTTAAAAGTATAGAATCAACTTCTAGTTAGAGAATGATGTTGTTTTTTTGGTTTTTGTTTTTTTTTGTTTTTGTTTTGGTTTTAGTTTTTTGGTTTTGTTTTGTTTTTTCTGTCTTTTTGAAACAGGGTCTTCGTGTAGCCCCAGCTGTCCTGGAACTCACTGTGTAGACCAGGCTGGCCTTGAACTCAGAGATATCTGCCTGCCTCTGCTGGGACTAAAGGCATGCACCACCATGCCCAGCTGAGAATGATGTTTTATTTTGTGTTCTGACTTCTTTGTGGATTTCTGTTCGTTTTATGTTTTGAAACAGGGTGTCACTATGTAATCCTGGCGGCCTGGAACTTACGTTGTAGACCAGGCTAGCCTTGAATTCACGTTGGTCCTTCTGCCTCAACCTCAAGTTCTGGAGCATATATCACCACACCCAGTTTGACTGCTTTGTTTAATGGAAAACTTTTACGTTATCTTTCCTCCTTTTTCTTTTTACTTTCATGGTTGTTGACCTTATGGAATCCTTTTAGTTTGCTGTTTTCCATTTTTCTTGTAAAAAGCTTATAAAAACCTTTCTCATTTCATTTCATAGTTTATAACACTGCCACTGGAGAGAGTAAATACATCTTAGGGGTTTTCTGTGGCTCTAGTTTGAATTTAATTGAGCTTTGCTTCAAGGCACACTGGCCAAATCCAAGTTCTTTGACTGACTTCTCTTCAGAAACTATGTATGTCCACTAATTCATCAGTTTCTACTTACCTCTTTGAGACCGAGATTCCCTGTAGCCCCACCTGACCTGAAACTCCTGTACTAGTCTGGCCTTGAACTTAGGAAGATCTGTCTCCCTTTGCCTCCTGAATACTAGAATTAAAGCCTTGTGCCACCATGCCCCGTGATAGCCACATTTTAGTCCCACCTTCCTTTCTTTCCCTTCCTTCCTTCCTTCCTTCCTCCCTTCCTTCCTTCCTTCCTCCCTTCCTTCCTTCCTTCCTCCCTTCCTTCCTTCCTTCCTCCCTTCCTTCCTTCCTTCCTTTCTTTCTTTCTTTCTTTCTTTCTTTCTTTCTTTCTTTCTTGACCTTTTTATTCCATTTTCCCAACCACAAACATTGGATATATTGACTATATCATCTGCCATTTTCTAAAAATACAAGCTTTTGCTGGACATGATGGCTCATGCCATTAATCCCAGCATCCAGGAGGCAAGGCAAGTGGATCTCTGGTTTCAAAGACAACCTGGTCTACATACTAAGTTCCAGTGAGGCCCTGACTCAAAAAAAAGAAAGATTTTGTTTTTAATTATGTGTATATATATATGTGTCTGTTCGTGGGTATGTACACATGATTGCAGGTACCTGTTAAAGGCCAGAGGTATCGGTTCTCCCAGGAGCTGGAGTTATAGGTGGTTGCAGGAAATTGAACTTAGGTCCTCTGAGAGTGCTCTTAACCACTGTGCCATCTCTCCAGCCCCAAATACAAGCTTTTTTAAAAAACATTTGTTACTATGTTGATGCTCGTTCTGTTTTTCTTCTATCTAGTCTTCATTTATTGAAATTTTATTCATTGTTTAAAGCAGATTAAATATTGTGCCACTACTTCCAAGAAACCTATATGAATAGTGAAAACTTTGTCTTCCTCCGGGGATTATAAGCTTTTGAAAGAAGCTTTATCTTTATTTTCACCTATTTTATCCCCTAATAATACCTAGAATAGTTACACTGGATCTTGTTTATGTTCTGTCTCCAGTTAATGGTTGTAAAAACTAAAAGAATTACTCATTGCTAGGTTTTACTCATTGATAGGTTTCTCCCTGAATGTAAAACAAATATAAATTAGAAAAAAAAATGATCCTATTAGCAAAGCAAGTTTTTAGATTTTGTTCTAGAATCTCCTTGTAAATTCTGTAAGTGGCAAAAAAAGGAAGTTGTTTATTTTGAACAAAAATAATAGTTTGCTTTTTTCTCTCCCTAAAGAAACAAGGTCCAACTAATCCAATGCTATTGCATCTTGTTCGAGATGTTAAACAGGTAAGAAATTTGTTGTAGAAAAAATATTATAGTCATTAACACTTTACCCCCTGCCCCGCACTTAAGCATATTTTTAAAATAGCAATTCAACTGAGAGTTTTTTTGTACAAGATAAAATACTGTCTTTGCTTTTACTGTATCTAAATCAAGAGAAAGCACAGCTTTTGGAATTAAGACCAACTCCCTAAGCTTCTAGTCGTGTAAGATGGGATGTGATATGTTGTGTGGCGTTCATTGGTCCACAAGAGGATGATTGTTGATAGCATGTGTCTTCTTTCTCTCAGAAATTTCCAACCTAGAAATTTGTCTCTACTTAAAGGTTATTGAATAAGAAAATTGAGTGATATATACTAAGTAGTGATCTTCATGGCTGGAAAAAAAAAAAACGCCCTCTGCTCTCTTTAGAATTTGGTATCAGTGGTGACTGGACCCCTCCCCATGGTCATTCTGTAGGATCTAACTCATATAGTGCTTCTCTTTTTCTCCTGTTGGGATCTTTGTGAATTAATAGTTTTAAACTTTTGTCATCATTTGTGGAGCCATTTAAATAATTGGTATCAAATACAGGTTATAGCCCTAAATGAAAGGATGTTCGTAGTTTTTTTTTTTTTTTTTTTTTTTTTTTTTTTTTTTTTTTGGTCTTTTTGAGACAGGGTCTCCCTGTAGCTCCAGCTGGCCTGGAACTCACTATGTAGACCAGGCTGGCCTTGAACTCAAAGAGATCTGCCTGCCTCTGCCTCCAGAGTGCTGGGAGTAAGGGCTTGTGCCCCCATACCTAGCTGCTCATAGTAATTTAAATGTTTTAAAACATCTAAATTTTCGTGTTGTATGGGTGTACTATTAATAAACAAAAAATTTTAAGTAAAATGTTATTTTTGTGGTTTGTGATTTATCTGATATCATTAATATCATAAGAAGAACTTAGACTTTAAAAACTTAGACTTAAAATAATTGGCTGAGTTTTATACCAGCTCTTCTTTTTCTTTTTCTTTTTGGTCTTTTTTGAGACACCTGTAGCCCCAGGTGTCATGGAACTTACTATGTAAACTGGGCTGGCCTGGAACTCAGAGATCCACCTGCCTTTGCCTCCCCAGTGCTGGAACTAAAGGCGTGTACCACCATGCCTGGCAGGAGGTTTTCTTTGTGGCTTTACTCTGGTATATTACACATACTATAAAATGTACCCACTAAAAATGTGTACCTCATTGACTGCTATTTTCAGAGTTATGGACACATTGTCCTAATCTTAAATGGAAATAAATATAGTTATATACATATTAGAGAGTTCAAAGATGAAAACAATATATTAAAATTCAGATATAGTCAAGAAAATTGGAGGAATGATCGTGATGCAAGAACAGAACTAGTTAAATGACAATCATCTGATAGATTGTCTTTGATGTTATTTGAGGAAATCAATAATTTTAAAATTCTAGAAGGTGCAAGTTTTCCAAACTCATAATGGCTTATATTTAAAAAATTTTTTGCAAGTTGATTTATTGCCCTATGAAAATAAAGTTGCAAGTGGTAGTTAAATCCTGGACAAGGATATAAAAACCTATGTGGTGCATTCCTGCGCCTCCACTCAGTCCTCCTCAGGTCTGCTCGGTGTGCCATGGATGGCATCATCCCAGACATAGCAGTTGGTACAAAGCAGGGATCCGACGAACTCTTCTCCACATGCATCAGCAACGGCCCCTTCATCATGAGTGGCAGCACGGCCTCAGCAGCCAATGGAAATGACAGCAAGAAGTTCAAAAAGGACAGCAGGAGTGCGGGTGTCCCCTCCAGAATCATTCACGTGTGCAAGCTGCCTAGCAATGTGACGGAGGGCGAGGTCATCTCCCTGGGGCTGCCTTTCGGGAAGGCGACTAACCTGCTCATGCTGAAGGGCAAGAACCAGGCCTTCATTGAGATGGGCACAGAGGAGGCGGCCAACACCACAGTCAGCTACTACACCTCAGTGTCTCCTGTGCTGCAAGGTCAGCCCATCTACATCCAGTTCTCCAACCATAAGGAGCTCAAGACCGACAGCTTCCCGAACCAGGCACACTGAAGGCAGTAAACTCTGTACAGTCGGGAAATCTGGCCCTGGCTGCCTCCGCCGCGGCTGTGGATGCTGGATGGCAGTGGCGAGCCAGAGCCCTGTGCTCAGGATCATTGTGGAGAACCTCTTCTACCCCATGACCCTGGACATGCTGCACCAGATCTTTTCCAAGTTCGGCACTGTGCTCAAGATAATCATCTTCACCAAAAACAGCTAGTTCTGGGCACTGCTGCAGTACACCGACCCTGTGAGCGCCCAGCATGCCAAGCTGTCTCTGGATGGGCAGAACATCTATAATGCCAGCTGCATGCTGCACATTGACCTCTCAGAGCTCACCAGCCTCAATGTCAAGTACAACAATGACAAGAGCCGCGACTGCATGTGCCCAGACCTGCCCTCGGGGTCAGCCATCCCTTATTGGACCAGACCAAGGCCGCAGCCTTTGGTGTGCCTGGTATAATGTCAGCCTCTCCGTATGCAGGAGCCGGGTTCCCTCCCACCTTTGCCATCCCCCAGGCCGCAGGCCTTTCTGTCCCTAATGTCCATACCTGGCTTGCCCTGCTGGCCATACCATCTGCAGCAGGCCACATCACCATCCCAGGCCTGGCAGGAGCCTTGAACTCTATTCTGCTGGTCAGCAACCTGAACCCCAAGAGAGTCACACCCCAAAGCCTCTTTATTCTCTTTGGTGTCTATGGTGAAGTGCAGCGGGTGAAGATCCTGTTCAACAAGAAAGAATGCACTAGTGCAGATGGCAGCCAGGCGCAGCTGGCTATGAGCCACCTGAATGTCACAAACTACATGAGAAGCAGGTGTACATCACACTGTCCAAGCACCAGAGTATGCAGCTGCTGCGGTAGGGCCAGGACCAAGGACTACAGCAGCTCCCCTCTACACTGCTTCAAGAAGCCTGGCTCCAAGAACTTCCAGAACATCTTCCCACCCATCTTCAGCTACCCTGCACCTCTCCAACATCCTACCTTCTGTGTCTGAGGATGACCTGAAGAACCTCTTCTCCAGCAATGGAGGTGCCGTCAAAGGTTTCAAATTCTTCCAAAAAGACCGCAAGATGGTGCTGATCCAGATGGGCTCCATGAAGGAGACAGTGCAGGCACCGATTGAGCTGTACAACCATGACCTCATCGAGAACCACCACCTGCACTTGTCCTTCTCCAAGTCTACCATCTAGTCCGCACTCTATGACGCCACCCAATTGTAGCTGAAGTGACCTTACACACCAGAGATTTTATTTTTTTAAAGAGAGATCAGTTTACCTGTTTTTAAAAAAATTAAATCTAGCCTACCTCACCATAGCAACAGCTTGGGCCACTGTGGCCCAGATAGGCCGGTGCCATGCCTTGAGGGGCCCAGGCGTGAGGCTGTGGCGCCCCAGAACACCTCCACCTCCGCCTTCAGTGTCCTGCTGCAGCCTCCCCACCCCAAAATCAAATGATGTGATTCTCCTTCTGGCCGTGCTCAGCTGCATCCTTCATATTAGACCTGTGTGGTCAGATGCCTGTGCCTAGAGCAGTTGACCAGATGACCTAATCTTTCCATTTACATGCAAGAGATACGGTTTTAAGTAACTTTTTATAGCCAATATGACTTTTGTTAAAAGATAATTAGAGGGGCTGGAGAGATGGCTCAGTGGTTAAGAACACTGACTGTTCTTGCAGAAGACCCGGGTTTGAATCCCAGCACCCACATGGCGGCTAACAACTCTCCGCCACTCCAGTTCCAGGGGATCCAACAGCCTCTTCTGTCATCCATGGGCATTGCATAACATGGGTACACTTAACCTACATGTAGGCAATACATGCATACACATAAAATAAAAGTAATAAAATATTTTTAAAAATATTTTAGAGTACCTCTGGGCTAGTTTTGAAAACATAATTAACAAATAATTACTTTTCTAATAAAATGCAATTTTTGGTGATTTATATGTATTACTATAGTTTATAGTCTCTGTATGAAATACTGGGAAATAGAAAAAAATCAGGTATCTTCCTGCTTTAGGTTATACTTTTGACTCAGACCACAAAATGTCAGAATCTCCTCATCTCACAAAAGAAGCAAGCCATTCCTTTCTCATGTAAAGATAACAGCAGCCCAACCACTTAAAAACAAATAATCGTTTCTTAATTTGGAGAGTGGGGCTTACATTCTTAGCCATGGCATGACAATACTGAGTAATATTTCACTGTCTGTTCAATATTTTTTATTTCCAGGGTAATCTCCCTCCAGGATACAAGATCACTCTAATTGATATCGGACTCGTGATTGAATATCTTATGGGAGGAACCTACAGATGCACATACACAAGAAAACGCTTTCGATTAATTTATAATAGTCTTGGTGGAAATAATCGAGTACGTGCAGTTTGAGGGGATAATTCATATTTTGCATTTTAAATGTTAAGAATTACTTACAGGAGTCTGGTATAATGGGAGTGTGCCTGTAATCCCAGCATTGGGAGTCAGGGACCAAAAAAAAAAAAAAATCACTGTATGTTTCTAACCAGCTTGATGTACGTAATGAGTTCTGTGTCAGCCAAGGCTACATTGTGAAACCTTGTCTCAAAAAAAAAAAAAAAAAGAATAACTAAAACACTAAAAAGAGTTATGGGGCTGGAAGTAGTTCCAGGGTAGAATAATTCCCTAGTTTGCATAGCTATATTAGACTGGTGACAGTAATACTGTCTTTAATATGACATTTCAAATAAAAGTAATTAAAAATATTTTATAGGTTGGGTATGGTAGCAAACACTTGTAGTCCCAGCTCCTTGGGTGGCTGAGTGAGAACAATGACTTGAACCTTTAAACTTAATTAAGATCAGACTTGGCAGCATAGAGACTCCCATTACAGAAAGAAGGGAGAGAGACCATAAGCTGAGACTTGAATGAACGCAGTCATTATCTTGCACATGTGATCCTGGAGAGATGAAAGCAAGAGCTTCTCAAGTCCAAGGTTAGCCTGGGTCACATGTGAGATAGATGTTTCAAAAGAAAAAGGGCAAAAAAATTAAAGTCCCAAACCGGTCATTTTTATACATAGACAAACATTTGAATACATATATAAATTGTCTTGGATTTTTAAAATAACATGTCAGCATATTTAAGTGTGTAAATGATAATAAGCTCTCATTTTCAGAGGTCTGGTCGAAATACCTCCAGCAGTACTCCTCAGTTGCGAAAGAGTCATGAAACTTTTGGCAATAGAGCAGATAAAAAGGAAAAAATGAGACATAATCATTTCATTAAAACAGCCCAGCCCTACAGACCAAAGGTATGTTTATTTATTCTTTAAATAAAATAGATTTATTTAGCTTTTTAATATCATATCCTTTTAGGTTTTTTGTTTTTTGGTTTTTTTTGTTGTTGTTGTTGTTGTTTTCTTTTACTAATTACTTGGTATTAAGTAAAAACTTTGATTTACTGAGAATTATCTTTTGGTTTGAAATATTTCATAGCTTTGGCTCTTCATTTTCCCTTCCCATTCCCAGAGATACTCATTAAGGATCTATGAGTTTTTCATAGTATGTTCTGAAAATAGATTTATTTATTTATTTATTGGTTTTTGCTAGTCTGTAACTCACTTTGATCCACGTGCCTCTTCCTCCCGAGTGCTGAGATTAAAGGTATATTCCAACATGGCTGGCCTTAGATTTTTTTTTTTTAATTAAAAAAAAATTTTTTATGTGGTTGAGTGTTTTGCCTGCATGTATATAAGTGTACCTTGTCCTTACAGTGTTCACAGAGGCTAGAAGAGTGGGTTGGATCCCCTGTAAATGGAGTTACAGGTAGTTGCGAGCTGCCGTGTGGGTGCTGGGAACCAAACCCAGGTCCTCTACGAGAACAGTCAGTACTCTTAATCACTGAGCTGTTTTTCCAGCCCCAATTCTTTAATTTTTTTAGTGATTTAGTTTTATTACATATTTGTAACAAACGAATTGCCCTCAAAAAGTATGTACAATAAAATCTACTTTATCAGATATTAGTTGAAGTATTATGCCTTTGCCAGTCTTCAAAAACTTATGCTACAAATACTTTTGTTGATTTATAAATAAGGTTTATAAAATTTGCTTCATTATAGTCATGTGAAGTTGAGTGAAGGATATTCAATAAAAAATTTTCAGTAATGTGATTATCATTTATTTTTACTATGGTTACTGTTATAAGGTGCTTGACATCAGATCCAAGACCCTTTGTGTTCTAGGCAAGCTCTGTACCACAGAGCTATAGTCCCAGCCTTCCATATGACCTTATTGTAATGAGTCTTACAGCATTTGCTTTCCTTTGAAGATTGATACAACTATGGAAGAAGGAAAAAAGAAAAGAACCAAAGATGAAATTGTAGATATTGATGACCCAGAAACCAAGCGCTTTCCTTATCCACTTAATGAATTGTTAATTTGGGCTTGCCTTATGAAGAGGCAGGTCATGGCCCGTTTTTTATGGCAACATGGTGAAGAATCAATGGCTAAAGCTTTAGTTGCCTGTAAGATCTATCGTTCAATGGCATATGAAGCAAAGCAGAGTGACCTGGTAGATGACACTTCAGAAGAACTGAAACAATATTCCAAGTAAGTGATATTTTAAAAATGTGAAATAGTGTTTGAGTAGTGTTACAGCGCTATGTCCTTTAACAGTAATGGGTGGTAAACTTTATTAATAATAACTAAGACAAAGTTCTTTTTTTTTTTTTTTTTATTGTCTTTTTGAGACAGGGTCTCCCTGTGGCCCCAGCTGTCCTGGAACTCATTATGTAGACCAGGCTGGCCTTGAATTCACAGAGATCCACCTGCCTCTGCCTCCCAAGTGTTGGGACTACAGGCGTGTGCCACCGTGCCCGGCTTGACAAAATTATTCTTAATGCACTAGGTATTAGAATTTGGGAAGACTACTTTCTGCTGTTTGGTTTGTTTTTGTTTCCAATTACAGAATTAAACATTTCAAAAAGAAAAGAGGATAATGAAGTTAGGCTAATAAGTATACATAATAGCCATTAGGTTAAGAACTCCATTTGGAATGGAAAAGAAAGGACCTGAAATTTGAGCTGTGTTCTAAGGAAATAGGAGGACATTTGGATGATGGAATCACAAGTACTGAAGAATAAAGTAGTTGATGAGTTTACAGTTTACTCAGGGAAATATTGTTCATATTAATCTGGAAAGATAATTTGAGGAAGTTTTGTACAGGATACATAAACCTCCCTGTCCCCAAACAGGCTGTCTTTGGAAGAAAATAACTCTTATGATTGCTTAGTAGGAATTCAAGGAATTTATGGTCGTTAGTCTCTAGCCACAATTTTCCTATTTTCATGTTGGAAATACAATGTAGAGAAAAATTTGAGTAAAATGCTGTATCATTGTTAATTTTGGTTCCCTGTAAGAGTATTTAGTTTTATTTATAAGACTAGGGAAACACCTACTGAAAAATACAATTCCAGGTCGGTCGGGCGCGGTGGTACACGCCTTTAGTCCAAGCACTCAGGAGACAGAGGCAGGTCTGTGAGTTCAAGGCCAGCCTGGTCTACATAGTGAGTTTCAGGCCTGCCGGGGCTACAGGGAGACCCTGCCCTCCTCCCACCACAACCCCCCAAAAAAAGACTAGGAGAAAAATGCTCTGGGTTCACCTAGTCACACTTAGATTTAATACAACATATTTTAGTATTTTGTGATTTTTCTCGTAGATCAAGATATCAGGGCATAGAGCTACTGTCATTCTAGTGCTTCACAATTCTATTTAGTGTGTGTGAAAATAGTCTAAGTTTACTTGGTTAAAATTGCATTTTCTGTGCTAAAAGTGTAGATAAATTCAGTAATAGAGGGTTTTTAAATTTTTTATTACATTTTATTTTTTCATTTTTGTTGGGGAATGGAGTACTAGAGTCTCTATCTAGCGTGCCGTGCTGTTTATTAATCTGAGTATACTTTGGCTTTTTTTTTTTAAGTGATTTTGGCCAACTGGCAGTTGAATTACTGGAACAATCCTTCAGACAAGATGAAACCATGGCTATGAAATTGCTCACTTATGAACTGAAAAACTGGAGTAATTCAACTTGTCTTAAGCTAGCAGTTTCTTCAAGACTTAGACCTTTTGTAGCCCACACTTGTACACAGATGTTGTTATCTGATATGTGGATGGGACGATTGAATATGAGAAAAAATTCCTGGTATAAGGTATATCTTAAAAATCGTTAGATTTAAGGTACAAAAAATAAATGAATTTAAAGTGTATGATTAGATACAAAGTATAGATGAATTTTTCTAATATACATAGTAAAACAACTTGATTTGTGAGAATGACAGTGGGGATAAGGAAACAAGTGATTGGAATGAACAGCATTTCATCCGAAGTGGTATATAATGTACTCTTTTAAATGTATACCTGTTCTTTACTATTGAGTATTAAATGTATGTTCCTCTCTGAGCCAAAAGTATGAAGGCAATAAATGGGGGGTATTGACATTTATAGCCCTAAGTAGCCATGTAGAGTTATTGGTTTTCTTAAGGATTATTCCTAAATTCGATAATTCCATACTTATCTACTAAATTTTTGTGTTACTTTCAGATACTTGAAATATATTAGAAATATGTATCTGTGTGCCTAGTTGATAGTAACAGTATATCCATATGTCCAGAGTTTAAGGTTCAGAATTTGGATACAAT